TAGAACAGATATGTATTAAAAAATAATAATAATAATTAAATAAATGAATAAATAAATACATGCATGTATATATAATTAAATAAAGTAGAACAAATCAATTCTAGAATTCTATGAACAATTTAAAATTTAGTGTGTGTGTGTGTGTGTGTGTGTGTGGGCGCATCACTGATTTGTTGACTCCTCCCTCTTTTTGTGACAGGCATCAATGTATCTTGCTGCTAGTAAGATACAATCTTGTTTTCTTAGCGACTTCGTCGCTAGATTTAGTGACTTTTCAGACCCCTTTAGTGACTTTTTTTCCAAAAAAAAGTGCCTAACGACAAATCTTATTTAGTTTCTGATACTCGCCGATACTGCCGCACGAGCGTGAGGTTTTGTTTTCCCAGTGCGTACACGCCTCTCTCTGCGTCTGCTTTGTTCCGCGAGCGGCTGAGGAGCAGCGCTTTCAGTTAAAAAATATATTATGTCACTTCGAACTCTATTTTACATGCAAATATAGCCGAAATCACAGCATAGCCATCTTTATCTTATGTGTATTTGATTTCATTAGACGACGTCGTGATTATGAATCAGGATTTTTGTGCAGATTAACATCCAAAGGAGAGCTTGTTATGTAGTCTTAATGGGCCGCGTTTCAGTCTCTAGTTCATATTCATCACGTTGTCTTACAACAGAAACAGAAAAATATACCAGTGAAAACAGTTTTATTTAGAATTTGACTGCATTAAAATACAGTTTGTGAACACTATCAAATTAAATTTTTTGCAAGTGCAATGCATTGTAAATGGTTATTCACCATTTATAAGGAAATGTCAGCTTTTATTTATTTTTTATTTTTTTGGTAATAGCACTTAGTATATGCATGTGTACAGTGTCTAATAATTGGTCTTCAGTGTTAGACTTTGAGTGAAAAGCTTGTGGATAGTTTATGGGGATGCACATAAATATATTGTATACGCATACATACACGCACAGAAAGAAAGAAAAAAATCATGCAGACTTGCAAACCCAACCATGCATACACAAACAAACAAAACAAAACAACAACAAAAACCTCAAATTTGCAAGCTTTGCATGCACATGCAAACAAACAATACACTTTCACTCATACACGCGCACACACATTCACTCAGAAATATTAATAAATCACACTCACTCAAATCACCACTCACTCACACACACACACACACACACACACACACAAATACAGTCACACTCACACATTCACACACAAACAAAAAAAAATCATACAGACTTGCGAACCCAACCATGCATACACAGACAAACAAAACAAAACAAAAACTCAAATTTGCAAGCACAACCATGCACATGCAAACAAACAATACACTTTCACTCATGCACGCACACACACATACTGTCAGGGTTCTGTCACTTCGGTCTAGTGTAATTCATGGTTTTGTGAGAGAGCCGGGCGCATCACTGATTTGTTGACTCCTCCCTCTTTTTGTGACAGGCATCAATGTATCTTGCTGCTAGTAAGATACAATCTTGTTTTTCACCTAATAAATATTGAAGTTGTGTTTTCTTGTTTAACATTTTGAAGTCAGGGTAAAGTATTTCAAATTTGGGATAAAATGTCTTTCTAATTTCTTCATAGTTAGTGCAGCTGGTGAGGAAGTGTTGCTCTGTCTCCACTTCCCCATGATTACAGTATGGGCAGATACGGTTCACTTTGTGCAGCCAGTGCTGTCGATATCTGCCCGTCTCTATAGTCAGAGTATGATTGCTCAGTCTGTACCTCGTCATCTGTCTTCTTAATTTACAGTCTTGCACTGTACTCAGATATTCTGCAGCTGTGTAATCTGTTTTTAGGGCCAAATAACATTAAAGTTTACTTTGTTTTTCTGTTGTTTCATTCCAATAGTTTAGATAATTTTCTTTTTGTGTTTTTATAATTTGGTTGGGCAGAATTTTATGTATGAATATTTCAGTGTATTGATGCTGACTGTTGTTAGTCATGTTAGCTTGTTTTTGCAGCTTCAGGACCATCTGAATCGGGACTTTTTTCAGGGTTCACTTCATGGTTTTTAAGGGCTTTAAAATGGTAAGAGTTGGGGTCACTCATTTTTAGGTGTTTCCAAAATGTGATGGCTCTTTTCTCAATGCGCATTAGTAGAGGGTATTGGCCTAATTCTGCCCTGCAGGCGTTGTTCGGTGTGCTCCTCTGTACTCTGAGGAGACTCTTACAGAACTCAGCATGCAGGGCTTCAATCGGATTTTTGTCCCATTTTTCGAATTGGTGATTTAGGAGAGGACCCCACACTTCACTGCCATATAATGCAATAGGTTCTATGACTGATTGGAATCATTAAAATACAGTTTGTGAACACTATCAAATTAAATTTTTTGCAAGTGCAATGCATTGTAAATGGTTATTCACCATTTATAAGGAAATGTCAGCTTTTATTTATTTTTTATTTTTTTGGTAATAGCACTTAGTATATGCATGTGTACAGTGTCTAATAATTGGTCTTCAGTGTTAGACTTTGAGTGAAAAGCCTATGGATAGTTTATGGGGATGCACATAAATGTATTGTAAATATATTGTATACGCATACACACAAAGAAAAAAAAATCATACAGACTTGCGAACCCAAA